CACCATCATCTTCATTATCTTCATCACCATCACCATCATCATCACCACCATTGCCATCACAATCATAACCATCATCATCACCATCATCACCACCATCATCATCATCACCACCACCATTACGGAATGCCAGGGTTGGAAGGGGTCCCCCCCTCTGAAATCTGAATCTCCACAGCACTTGGGCCCTTCCTGCCAGGGCTTCTGAGGATCTATGCAATTTTGTGAACATTAAATAACCTGTTGATAATCATATTTCCACCTTATGTTGACAGGAAGCTCAGAACCAAAATTGCTGTCCAACTCAAGAAACTAAATGAGATTATAATCGGCATGCTTGACTTTGTTTCATTTTTCTTTTTGATTGTGTTTGATTTGTTTATACGTATTTTCCCTTTGTCTGTTGTCTCCTTCTTTCCTACCAGTTTTGATATTTCTGTAAGTGACTTAAACCAGAACTCCATCAGATGCTGGAATGCGTGTTTGTGTACCAAATCGTGGTTGCACATACAGAGACATGTGCACTCATCCTACTGAGAAGGAACATGGAGCCCCTGGAGGTCAGAACAGACAGACAAGGCAGGCAGCAGAACGAGGCTTACAGTGGTGGCATGTGGCGCCTGTGTAGCCCGTGCTGCTGCAGTTGCAGTAGAAGGTGTTCCAGGTCTGGGAGCACTTGCCGCCATGCTCGCAGTAGTTGGGCAAACACCTGAAAGAAGGAGCAGAGACTGTCTTTGTCCACAGTGGGTCATCACACGTACAGGTCATGTGAGCTGAAAGTGTGTGAGTGCCGCGCAGGATGACAGCAGTCACATACACAACGAATTCAAAGTGATTATTGACACTGTAAATTAAGTTCCTACTCCTAACAAGGAATCTCTGGGTAGTGCAAATGGTTAACGAGCTCTGCTGTTAACCGAAAGGTTGGGGGTTCTAGTCCACCTACAGGCACCTTGAAAGAAAGGCTGGCAATCTACTTCTGAAAAATCAGCCACTGAAAACCCTATGGAGTACAGTTCTACTCTGACAGACATGGAGTTGCCATGAGTTGGAATCGATATGAGGTCAACTGACATGATTTACCACTAATGCTGAATTCTGAGTTAATACACATCTGTCAGGCTCAACTGATCATCATACATGTATGACAGCTGAACTTGTGTCTCTTCTTTATATTGGAGAACTATTTTTACCTACCAAAGTCACACTATTTACTTTATATGTCCAGAATAGCAATTGCTTGTATAAAATAATAGTTGCACTTTATCATGTTGAATTACCCCACTATTTAAATTTTTAAAGGAAGGAATGAAAGTGAAGGGAAGAGACCAAGTGGAGAAATCCAAAAGGAAAGAGAGAGAGAGGGGCAGGCAGAGAAATCCTTGTTACATGTCACTACTGGGCCAGGAGTGTAGAGGATCATTTGTTCTGGGCCCACATATCATCGTTCCAATTCTTTCTCCGTTTAGGATTTAGAATAAAAAGCCTTTTGGGACCAAAGCTTTAAGTACATTGTGTTTTCCCGAGAAGAATCAATAAATCGGCAAAAGCTCAAGTAAACCCAAGACCAATCTTTGCATGATGGGTATTTCGCCATCTGCTTAATTAAAATTAAGAATGGGACACTAGAAATTCCACTTACAGGACTTTTGGAATTTCAATTGACCATAGTCTTACTGATCTTCTTGATTTTAAAAAGCAAATGTTCACTATCAAATCAACTATCCAAAAGAATACAAAAAAGAAAGTAAAAATCATCTGAAATCTTAGCACATAAAATAACCACTACAATATATATAAGCATATAAATTTGAATTATACATGATGTTTTGCAACATTCTTATCAATGAATCAATAGTATATCTTGTGCATTTCCATGACAACAAATTTATATTAACACGTTTTATGGTTCATAGAAATCCATTAACATAGTTACCATTTATTTTAAATGTTATATATATATATATATATATATAAAATGTTATATATATTTATATGATGAGGAGAGTTCACAAAATACTAAAATCAGTGGCAAAAACAATAAAACTAGTGATTAATCAGATACACAAATGGCAAGCCCGGTGTTTTTTTTAACAGACATTAAAGAGAATGTTTTTAGCACGTGAAAAGCTAAGTTACTCTGTGTAGAAAACTGATGATGAAGTCTTTCATTTCTATGGTAAATGCTGTGTTCTAATGGACCTACATTTCCTAGCCCATATGCCTTCTATCCAAATGTTGTCATTTGAAGGAAGCTATTTTATACAATTATAGATAAAATTTTCTTACTTTTTAAAATTAGAAATATAGCTATTCTATTTCCTGTGTGACAGCACTGAGGGAGAGAAAGAAAAAGGAAAGAGACGGGAGAAAAGAGAGGGGAGAGAGAGAAACAACTTCATAACTACTAGCTTACCAACTGTGTGTTTCTCTGTAATCTGCTATCAACATTTCACATAAAGAGTGTCAGAGTGCAGCAGAACGCCATCCTTACCTGTCAAGAATGCCACAGGTGTCCACCTGGAGGTCGCTGAAGTTCCCCAGTGATCCCTGCTGCACTGCAATCAGGTCCACCTCTCGGGCATTGATGGAGATGTCTCTCAGACACCCCTGGAACCCAGCGAGGGCCAGCGCACAGTCAGACCCAGAGCTGAGAGGGTAGCACCCTGATCGTCAGGTGTACAGACATAAGAGAGAGATGGTAATCAAGACACAATGCTTCACAACATACTGGCACGAAAGGCAGCTTGACCCCTCTGCTTACAGAAACCTGAGACTTAGATTTCCATTATATTTTTGAGAAGGTCTTCCTGTTCATTTGGGAGGGGAGGAGAATAATAGTTAGATAGGCAGAGAGTAAAATAGCATTGGAGTCAGGAATATGAAAAAGATGAAGCTGCGTAACGATATAAAATTCAACAGAAGGTGAAGCATGATCCTTTTTGAAAGCACACTAAAAAAATGGAACTTCTTTTAGCATTATGCATAAGTGGAAAAAAATTAAAATGTACATGGATTTCAAGTTAGAGATGAAGTAACAAATATTATTATTATATGCACAATAGTCATCACTCTGTAATACATTCTCTTCCCAAAGAGCTACATTAATATGGCAAATACAAATATACATTCATATCAAGCCTTCATAAGGCATGCTGGAGTGCCATATACTAGTCACCCAGCAACTTTGAAGTTTCAAATTTAAAGTTATCTCAAAACATCTGGTCAGACTCTGAAGGCTTTCATTTATTGTTTTCTTATTTTAAGGGTAATTCACACAGTCCCAATGGTTAACTAGACTGAAGGACGATGGTTAACTATCTGCTGAAGGATGGCGTGCACGTTATACATTTGATTGATCTCTATAGGTGAGATCTACTTACCTTTCCATCATTTAATGTGTTGGGACTGAAAGGATATTAATTCAATAAAAAATCTGAGCAACCATTATATGCTAGAAACAGTAACAGCTCTACTAATCTCCTTTTCTCATAAAACATATTCTTTAACTCAACCAAAATAAAATAAATTCTGAAATTTAGACAAAAGTGGTGACAGCAGCCACAAAGGATAGCCTGGCAGCTTCACAGAGAAACCCATCAGCTGCAACTCAGCTAGCTGCCTTTGATTATGAGAAAAGCCAGTTCTGATTTGCTTGAGTTTATCTGAGACTGTTGAGGGAGACAGGAAGGTCAGCTCCTTTGAGGATGGAGGGTGAATCGTTACTAGGGGGTCTTTGTACCAGATTCACTGAGCTGGTAACCTTCAGGAGAGTAGGGTTCAAGTTCATTGAGCATGATGCCCAAACCCATAGCATGAGTGTGAAATCGAAAGACAGGAAGACTCCACTGGGGGTTTAAGGGAAGCTGACATCAGGTATCCTTTATGAAGTCCAGTGGAACAAATGCAGACAGCTGTGCTGACTGCAATGGAGCCACGTGAAGAACACTTCACAAAGAAACCTGGTCTGAGGAAAAAAGTTAAAAGTGAACCAATAATAGCAGAACTCTGCTGTGACAGGTGCAGAATGCTGCTACCTTGTATGTGACCACTTTCACTGTAAGGGGACTACTTGAGACCCAGCATGAGGCCAGAACATACCCGCCACCATTGTGACATCAGCCTTAAAAGCCAGCTGACAAGTTACTCCCTTGTTAGAGGACCTTTACAAAAATATTTTCCCGACTCAAGAGTGGTGCCTGGAAACTCTTAGTTGAACATGTAGCAGAGAAAGAGGGATAAAAAAGTCTCAGAATGTGGGATACTGGATAATATACAGGATTTGATAAATGAGATCCTACTAATAAAGGGACTCTCACTTCCTTACTCAACACATTTCTAGAGGGACTCGACAAAAAATTTGAGTTGGCAGAAGAAAGAAACATGAAACTTGAAGATAAATCAAAATATTCCAATCTGATTAATTAAGGAAAAAAAAAAGGTAGAACGAGCAGAGGCTCAGAGACCTGTGAAGCTACATCAACTGCACCAGCAAATCAGAAATGGGAGTCCCCCAAGGACAGGTGTGCAGGAGACAGAAGAATGCCCCTTCCCAAATGCCTGTGCCCTCATCCCTAGAACCTGTGAATATGTTACATTACCGGGCAAAAAAGAGTGAATGTTCCAGATGTAATTAAGTCTGCTAATTGGCTGACCTTGAGATGGGGAGATTATCATGGATTATTTGGGTGGGCCCAATCTAATTTAATCTACATCTCACATACTTCGGACATGTTATCAGGAGGGATCAGTCCCTAGAGAAGGATGTTATGCTTGGTAAAGTAGAGGATCAGCGAAAAAGAGGAAGACACTCAACAAGATGGATTGACACAGTGGCTGTATCAATGGGCTCAAACATAGCAATGATTGTGAGGATGGCGCAGGACCAGGCAGTGTTTCATTCTATTGTACACAGGGTCGCTATGAGGTGGAAGCGACTCGACGGCACCTAACAACAGCAATCTAATCACGTAGGTCCTTAAAAGTGAAGATGCCTTCCTTGCTATGGTCAGAGGGAGATGTGACAAAGGAATAAGGGTCAGAGAAATGTGCCTTTGCTGGCTTTGAAGGTAGATAAGGGGGGTCATGAGCCAGGGAATTCAGGCAGCCTCTAGAATCTGGAAAAGGCCAGGACACAGATTCTCCCCCAGAGCCTCTGGAAAGGAACATGGACCTGCCAACATCTTGATTTTAGCCCAGTGGAACCCACTACAGACATCTGATTTTCAAAAGTATAATATAATAAATCTGTGTTCATTTAAGC